CATCATATAGTCCTAGTTGAAGATATCAGGCTCCTCCAATTGCTTGTCTTGCGCAGCAATTTTACATTTCTTGAGGAAATGTGGCATAATACAGGACCTGTGACATAGTACAACTGACTTCACTAGGGATAAGTACTTGTCAGCTTGGAGTGATGCAGATGAAATAATATCACATCTAGCATGATGTCTGCTTACATGAGTTTAGCAGTATCATTCACAGGGTCAACTGCAGTGCTTTCACCTTGACTCCCTTACTTTTGCAGTGTTTCTGGCATGTTGTCCCTCAAAATATTCATACTATGTCTCCCTTTCTGGTGCAGACAGAGAGCATTCAAATAGACCCTACCACTAGCAGCATTGTCCCCAGACAATGTCTAATAACCTGTATTATAATCCCTGGGGGGTTGTTTATCTGTCTAGTTGAAGATCATCCTGATTTTCAAGCTTAAGGAAGTTTGATGCCTCAGGTTAAAGTCAGACAACTAAAGACAAATCAGCGCAGCACAGGTGAAAGTGTGGAAGACAAGATTCACTAAGCCACCACTACAGAAATTTTCTGAATGTATAGCTGGTGGCTGCATTTGCTGAGTAGTAAAGATAGAAGAAAAATGTTGAGACAGTATGTTGAAGACTGAAATATTACAGTTTATGACTTAAACATGTTCATGAAGATGCTTTTGCCTGTTATAGCAAAACTGTATTACAAAGGCTGCAGAGAAGACCACAACACCCTGAGTGGGCCCTGAAGGAGGCCTCATGCCGCTCAGTGATGAAGGTGAGATAAAATAACAATTCAGGGCTGGGGGAGAGGAATAAATCCACAGAGCAGAAGTTTAACAGCTTCAGAGCAGAGAGCACAGCCCCAGGGCTCTCAGCTGCCAGGCCCACACAGACCCTCACACCAAAGGCTGAGGGCAGAGAGGCTTTGGGTGCGTGGGGAAAAGGCTCTGGAGAGAGGCAGCGAGCGCCCATCCTCCGCTGCGCGGAGCAGCTCAGCTGCGGGGCCCTTCCCCCGGGAGAAGCCGCATCCACATCAGGGACACAGGGGTGCCACGGGTGCCAAAGGTTCCCAAAGGGGTCCCCAGACCCTGCAGCAGAGCACCGCAGAGCCATGCAGCAGATCACAGTGTTGAAAGGGACAGTGTCAAACTGGTCCCTGCAAGGGAGGCTCCTGGGCTCTCCCACCTGGCCCAAAGGTATATTCATCCATCAGATTCTAGAGTTTTTGGAGTGGTGTGGTGGCACTGTAGCCGCAGGGGATACTCAAGAAGACCAGATGGAGAGGGGCAAGGAGATGTCATTGGGACCCTTGGAAGGGGTTCTACCTAATTCCTGTGACTCTCTCCCTGTCCCGCCACTCACCCTATGCACTCTCTCTATTTCTCTTTCCTTCTTTTCTCTTTCTATTTGCCTCTTTTACTATTAAGAAAAACATATCAAATTTTTGGCACCAACACCTAAACTCGTTTGGTTTTAACTGTTTTTAGAGTATATTTCAAGCCTTTCTGGGTCTGATAAGTTTTATTCACAGAGGCTTATCTTTCATTGTTTTTCTGGGTTAAACTGGTTCACAACACAGTAAGAGATCTTTCCCAGAGCCTATAAAAACTGCAGTACCTTCTACACTTCATCATCACTTCCCACATTGTCCTGTTTCATGCACCTTGAGTCCCTTACAAAGCCTTTCCATGAGAGAGCCTACATCATATACTACAGCCTCTGCAAGCTGGCAGTAGCTTTATGTCAGAGAAAATCAGGAATCAGCTGCTGTAGTGCAATTTAGCCTTCATTTCTTTTGATGTCTGCTTCCTCTCATGCTTGAAAATAATGTGTAATAGACAATACAAACAGTCCTAATAAGGAAAAGGAAGTCAAACAAAAATCTTAGACTAGGCCACCTCCTTTTCTGGTAGTTAAGTGCGTATAACCAAGCACAATAAGGGGAAAGAAATACATGTTCATCACTGTAGTTAAGTGCCCACTGAAATCTTCAATGAACTTTAATGAATTAATTCTCTTCCTTCTAGTGAAGGATAAGTTTTGGTTACCTAATGCAAACAAGCATTTTATTGGCAGCATCAATAGCTCACATAAAGCAAAAAAAAGTTCCATATAAATGGGTATATCTGCACCAACTGGCAAAAAAATACGAGGTGGTGGAAGGGTAGCAAAGTGAATTACTGTAATACAACATCCAAAACACAGTCATTCATAACAAAGGCTATGTCAGTGCAAGACAACATTATCTGAGACCTATAGATTTAAATCATTACCAATGAGCAGAAGCAACTGTCAGAGCTTTAGTGTGAGAGCTACACTGTAGGCTTGTCAAATTCTTAGGTGAAACTGTCAAGTTAGGCTGTAAAATTTCAAACACACAGTGGTGTCTATGTGCTTTATAAAGCTGAAATAATTTACTCAAAATATTGATTTGTCTGACAAGTCTATAGAGAAAATCTATGCTACTTCTGAAGTCACATAACATTGTTTCAACTGACTGAACAACAAGAAGGCTGGAGTAGACTATACTGCTGATCTCTCTACATGGTATCAGACTTATACTACTGTGATCAGTCTTGCTTCCCATGTCACAGTCACTTTATTTACAAAGATAAAAAAACTCTGATTATTTGTGTGCCTTGTTGCAGCCTCATCCTCTGTCTAGTGTTTCTTATGCTTTCTTACCACTAGGCACCACTGACATTGCACAGTGGAACTGTGTGTGAATTCTCAGAGATGTTGAATTTGGGCAGTTTTAGCACAAGAATACAAGCAGGGTTTTAAGATCTGTTTTATGTCAGGGCTATAGTGAAATTCAGGTTTTCAAAACAAATTCCATAACTCACTTGCCATGAAAAAGTATGCCTTAGGATACCTAGTAGACAAAATGTGAGCAATATATTTGATAGTCTGGGAAAGTGCAAAACGTACCTCTGAGACATACAGGAGATCAAACAAGCATGCTGTTGGTACTGCCTCTCAAGCCCAGAGTTCTGCATTATTTATATGAAGAGGAGCAGCTCCAAGATGAGAAAGTGAAAAGAGTCTGACACCATCATCAGCAACTTAGACGTTTGTCTAGGATCCAGGATCAACCATCAGTCAGAGCAGTCTGTTCTGGAATTGTGATTTACCAGCTTCATGTTTCATGGCTAACCTATACTAACAGTAGCTATGCTGAGGTTTTACTGATTGATTAGTGGGAAAATTAATCTAGCTGTTCATCTGAACTAATTATGGATTCTATAAGGATACTTAATGATACATTGCAGTCTCCCTCTTTCTTCCTTTCTCACCATCTACTAACCATATCTAAGCACACAATAAATAACCTGTTACTCTTTATATTAGGAGATAAGGTGGACTTCATTGCCTCTTCTTTATTATCTTCTCTTCCCTACAGAGGAACCAGCTTTTATTTCTTACAATCTCACCAGGGTTTGTCTATTTAAACTTAGAAGTTAAAATGAGCTAACCTCTTTTAGTGGGAGCTCCCTAATGGTGAGAAGAGACCAAAGGAATTAATCCAGAGCTTTCTTAGAAACAATGATATTACTGTTTTGAGCAGAAGCATTTGGCACAAAATGAAGCCGTGAGTTAAAGAAATTTTCTGGAGAACAGAAAGGTTGTCACAAGCATACAGGACTGAATTTCAAAAACAAAAGAAAGAAATTACCAGAAGGATTGAAATAGAGAAAATGGCACAAAAGACAGGCTGTGAACTTGAGATCTAATTAAAATTTGTCCTAAGTTGAACCTTATGAGTTGTAAAAAGTAAGACAAGAACTAGGTGAGTGCATTAATCAGAAAGCTGTAATGAGCATTCTCTGGAAAAGATGAAAGTGGTTCTAGTTTCTGATTGTTATATCCAAACAAAATAAGGAAGCATACAAGGGACTAATACTCAGCTGGACTGTGACATACAGTTCTCTTTACTTATGCTCAATGAGACCACAAAAAAGCATCATGAAACATCCTTTCAAGAGAATGAGTATGAGAAGAGTCCAAAGTCCTTAAATATTATAATATCAAAACAAGAAAGACAAGACGAGTGGATTTCTGCCCTACATAGCTTGAAGACAGTAGACAGGTGACTTGTCTCTTGAACACATTTAGATTTTAGATTTAGATTAAAAGAAAACTTACAGTACTTGGTGCAGAAAATTCTAGAGTAGGCTTTCACTGGAAATACGTGGAGTAAGAAACATAACTAACTTCAAGGTGGAACTTACCAAACTACCAAAAGGTTATGAAGTCAAGTTGCCAATAAAAGCTGAGAGTAGAAGGTTTGTCACTGCTCTCCCTTTGTCGGACTAAGTAGCACCTTACTTGCTTGTTTTTTTCTGTACACCCAGGAGTACTAGTGGAGGGAGGAAGAATCTGTCCAAGAAGTGGAAGTGCTAAGTTCTGTAACAAATTATATATGCTATGTTTCAGCTTGCTGCTGGTCACATTCCTGCAGTACTGAGTGTATTAACAGTTTAGCTGGAATCCTGTCATGTAGTCCACCAGGTGCTTTTATAAACCAACACTTCAAAAGTGGTGGAAAAAAAATCTATTTATCTATCAGTCACTCAGTAGCACAAATGTGAGACAAGATGTGTTATTCTTCATGTTCTTTTCAGTTCTATCCTTTTTCTTGGAGGTGCTGAATTCTTGCAAGTCATATGGAAGTTGTGCTAGTGATCCGCACTTGTCAAAGAGTAACTGCTTCTCCAGAGCCAAGTTATGACATCAGTGGCACCTGCCAAAATTTATAGCACAGATCAAATGTGGTATTCAGAGTGTGTACCCTGCAACTGTCTGGTCATTCCTCGTGGTGTGTTGCGGACTTCATAAAATGAGATTGTGGGTTTGGGTTTTTTCCCCCTGCCTTTAAGCTAATTCATAATAGTAGATGTCATCACTCCCAAATAAAAATGAGTGACGGATGAATAGATTTCATCAGTTATTCCTGGCAGTTGGAGTTCTCTTGAAAAGGGGAACCCAGGGGTAAAACTGACATGATTCAGTAATCACTCAAGAAAATCATACTTTGACAGAAGAGGAAGCTACTATACAATCAAAGTAAGCATTTATATTCTTGTATTTTGGCCAAATTAAGATTTTCTCTTCCTGTCTTGATTATCTACCAGCCTAGATATACATGGGTATACATTAATTTTATGTTTTGTTAAATCATGTGAATTTGAATAATGCTTTCTTCTTGTTCCCTCCGTGACCTGGAATTCTATGTGTTTCAGTATACCTTTATGAAAATTATTCTGATCCTATGTGATTTATAATACATAAGAGGTATCTGTCCACTGTTTCATTTTACTCTAATCATAATTTCAGTTATTAAGCTATTATTTGTTACTAACTTTTTTGGTATTACTAGAACTTCTGTATTATACACACCTCAACTGAAAGGAAAACCACCAAAGAAAGGAACATGAAAGGGGATACTCATCAAAATTATGCATTCTATACATTAAATTTAAAACTTTTCAGAGCTTTAAACTTTTTAATAATTTTTTTACAGAGCACTATTAATGGGCTTTGAACTGTACTGTAGTAGATATATAATGTTGGAAAGCATTCCATGCTTAGGCAAACAAACCCTGATGAAGGGCAAAAGGAATAGGATATTAATTAGTGTCCTGACAAAGATAAACCAGCTCATGGTCATGATATGACCCAAGGGACTGAGTCTAGTTAAAGATAATCTTTCCATTGTTTACAATGGTCACCAAAAAACCTCTGAAGTGACTGTGGAAATTCTTCCAGGAACATGCTTGTGTTCCATATTAAAATTGGCTGACTCATCAAATTCATTGAAAGAGTTAAAATTAGACTTATCTCCAACTTTTAGAAAGGAAATATTTTTAAGTTATATATTTATATATACATATTAAAAATATCATTCTTGTTAAAGACTTCGTCCTTCAGCAAAAATTTTAGAAATAAATTTTGGAAATATTCAAATATTGTTTTACATTACTGGTTAAAACATTTTCCAATAAGGAAAAATACATAAGGTGATTTTCCTTTTTTTGCTAGCCTAACCAATTATTCTTTCAATTATGCATAATTCAGACTAAAAATCACATTGGTATTTTTCTTCAAATATGTTCAACTAACAATTTTACTGAATGTATTGAAATACTTCTCACTAAAAAGTAAAAGAAGAAATATTTTGCCTACAATTCTGTCTGTACAGAACACTGAACTTTTAAGGCCAAGGCTAGCTTAAGACACACGTTAAATAGAAAGATTGTAAAAAGGACTAGGACTAGGACTTTAGAAAATATTTTCTTCTCCTGCTTGTTTATTTCACATAAAGGTAACTCAAAATAATAATTTTGTTCAAAACATCAAGAGCCATTTCTGACTCTTAAAATTTATCCAGAAAGAGTCCAAAGTAGAAATTATGAAGTGTGCAGAAGAGAAATTACTTGCATTGAATATTTTTTAAAACTCCTTTTTGTACCTCAGCAGAGGTAGACAGAGATTACAATAATTCAAAGTATGCAGACCAGGCAGGGGCTAAGACCGGAGCTTTTTGAAACCTACTAATTTAACACCTTACCAAAGCACACTCAGATGAAGATCAGATTAAATGAGAGGAGGTTGTATTGCTGGATGTTTCTATGCCAGTTTTGTGCCAGTGAACAAAATTGTGCATATAATTTACAGCTAGAAGCAAAATTTCCTCCCCCTTGTATGGGATAGATCTGTAGAGGGAAAACTGTTCTTTATTCACACTTCAAATCTCCTTTAAATTGGCTCTGGGACACGACCTCTCAAGGAGAAGCAGAGGGCCAGGTATCAACCTCTTCACTCTTGTGATCAGGGAGGGGACTCAAGAAAATGGCTTAGTCAGGGGAAGTTTAGGTTGGATTATCAAGAAAAGGCTCTTCATGCAGAGGGTGTTTGGGCACTGGAACAGGATCCCCAGGGAAGTGGTCACAGCCTGACAGACTTCAAGAAACATTTGGACAATGCTCTCAAGCACATGGTGTGACTCCTGGGGATGGTGCTGTGCTGGGACAGTAGCTGGACTCAATGTGGACCCCTTCCAATTCAGCATGTTCTGTGACTCTATGATTTTGCAAGTTTAAAACAATGTATTATATGTAGGTGCTATGTGTATTTCATGAGTGATTTCCTGTCTTACAGATTGCTGCATGGCCCTCTGATTTATGGTCTGATTATAAATGTAGGAGATTTTTCTTTCACAATGCCATTAATTTTGTTTTAACAATTACTTCTTCTTTTGGACATTCTCCATAAATTAATAATATGTTAGCATATAAATTAATTTCTGTAAATGATGGATGCTGTAAAGACTCTTTTGTACACTCTTAGATGTTCTTGCCAGTTGAGGCTCAGAGCTACCAAATGCATAAGCCACTTTAACCAAGATCTAGTTTCACCCTTTTTTAAGTGTTGTTTTATCAGCTTGACTCTCTAAAAAAGCAGTGAACTATACTTCATATGGGCAGGTAGGACTGCAAAACCCATATAATCATACTTTCTCCCTATCTTAGTTGAAGATTTAATAAAGGACTCCATCTTGCACCAATCTTATGCACATTTTAGTAACCCTTCATAGACAATATATTTCAGAAAGTTTTATAGCATAAATTTTCAGTTCACAAATGATACTTATGATCCTTGATTCAAGTCTTCTGTATGAATAATTTTAAGTGAATAGAAGTGCATGCTCTTGGTTATTTTACATTCATATCAATGGATAAATGTGGATAAACATGTTAAAACAACCTTCCATTAGGAGTCAGAAAGACACCTCCCTGACTTTCCTTTAATATTTCTGGAATGATGAACCTATTTTCTTTACTCACTTTCCACCCAAGTGACTGTAAGAAAGTGTATTTCTTATTTACAGGGAGAACCTAATTGTTCTACTTGTTACTGAGCCCTGAGTTGTCTGGGTGAAGGAATCAAGGACAACTTTGATGGTATTAATTCCAGGTGTCAGTGTGAATCCACTGTATGTTATTGGGACACCTGTAAAAGAAAAACTCACACATGAACAAAACATGTAATGTAGAGCAATAATAAGGGGGTTTTTTGTATGTTTGTTTGGTTTTTTATAAAAAGGGTTACTCAGAAATCCAAACTAAGCTCCTAGGGAGAATCTTTCAATTAGAAAAAAGAAAAGGAGATATTACAGTGCACATGAACCCTAGTTTCTACACCTAGATGTCGTAATGCCAGGCTCAAAAATAGGATACTTTCACACATCATACCATGAAAGAGGTTGGCCAGCAATGTAGACAGTACAGTCTTCAAAAGTTTTACATCAAGAATCTGTCTTAGCAAGGACACCAGTAATTCCACATGAAATATTATCTGTCACTGACATTCCTAGGAACTAATACCAAATGTTCTTGACTTGCAAAAAGTCACAAAGACCTAGCAGACTTGCAGAAGTACCTCCATCTTTTGGGCACCTCTGAGATCACAGCATGTTCTTTTGAGTGGAGCAGCCAAATCTTAAAGCAGTCAAAACCCTCATGCACCCCCTCAAAATCTAATCAGTTTAATTTCAGATAAAGGCTGGAGACCCTCTTTGTACCATTTGGAGAACATCAACTAGAAGTTTTAATAATCATAAAAATTTAATCTCTAATTAAAGGTTAATGTGTTATGGCAGATTCTTATATGAGGCGAAGTATAATAGGGTTTGGAGGGCACATTGATTCAGTTTGTCAGCAACTTGCACTTGGCTTCTGAGGCAATGGGATAATTATCTGTGGAGTGTCAAGTGGGCAGCTGCTAGTGATAGAAGAGCCTCTAAATGGTGCGAAGACCCGTGTGACCTGCTGATCCAGGAATGATGAAATAATCAGATTCCATCACTCGCTGTAACAAGCTATTACCAGAGCATTTATTTTAACACTGCTCAAGGCCTATGGAATTAGGACACAGATAGGGCATGTTCCAGTGCACCCGTGATATGCATATTTTTTTTGCAAGATGAAGCCTTAAATAATAGTATAATTTTGGGGCCTCAGAGTGAGACAAAACATTATTAAGATTACCCATATTCCTGTTTAGACCACATTCATTGCCAAACACAACACGTTTAGCAAGAGGTGTTAGTAGAACTGCTGTACCCACACCAATGCAACAATTCCTGCTTATCACACTATGCCACATCTACAGCATCCCCAGTCCACATCAAAGGAAGTACTAGAAATATGCTGTTTGTCTCAGAGAAAAATACCTGGTTGTTTTGGTGATACTGCAGGTTTTGCCAACCTTGCTGTGAAGAGGACCAATTTTCTAATCATACAACGTACTCCGTCACACAGGAAGTTATATTACATGATCTAATCAGTTCATGATTATCACTCCAGTTGGGCTGTGCTGGTCTTTAAGCAACTGGACTTCTCAACATAAAAATAATGTATCTCAAAGAGGTTTTTCTTTTTGTTAGGTAGTTTTTCCATTCCAGCCAGACTTGACACCAGGTTTGGAAAAATTATTTGTTATTATTGATCTTTTCAAAAAATTGATTCATGAAAATTATGACAAATCTAAAATATTCAATTTAGAAGATGCCTAGAACTTACTTATGCGTCCTTTTAATGTGCCAGGAGTTTCAAATACTGTATTTGATAGCAACCTTTCAGAAATATGCCTTAATTGTGTTACATCTTTCTTTTTCTTTTACTCTGATCTTTCACATTACAGCATTGTACAAATCAAAAGTTTCCTCCAAAAGATTGGCCTACATTAGCACAGTCTTTGTTGTATTTATCAAGAGTAGCTCCTAAAGTGTGAAATCATCTAGGAAGAACATTCACAAATATGTATCAGGATCTATGACGCATTTATTCATCACCATTACAGAGTGGAGTGTTGGCAAAAATATCTAATGACAGCAGAATATAGATAAACACAAGGAAGGAAAGGGATTTATTTCATAGCAGCCCTCAAATTAAGTGCTGATCTAGTCATAGAAAACTCTGGAGTGTGGGTTTTCAGGGTTTTTCTTTCCTGTATCCTCCACTTCCTAGTGGGGCTTAGTGGAGGAGACTGATTCAGGAAATAGGCAACAGAACTTAACATTTCAAAGTACCGTTACAATCTGATAACCAACATAATATGGTAATATCAGCAAGGACATCAGACATGATGAGAATTTTAATGTTTAAATAACATGCATTTAGCAAGGACAAATTTGCCTGTTTTCTGTCATTTTTATCATTTATTGGAACCAATCCCCGTATTTTAATGAGCTCTACTTTTAACGGTATTTAAGACTGAATTTTGATAAAATATAGAACAAGACCATAACAAGCTCCCCAGAGCTTTGCACTCTATGTGTTTCAATTCAGATTCATAACATCCTTGCATATTTTGTGCATGACATCATTTGGAGTAGCAAAAGGAATAATTTAGGAGCAATGCATTTTCCTGAGATAAAACATCAATGATCTGTTTTAAGAAAATGGGAAATAGAAAATAGAAAAGTTCTTCACATCTAATCTGAAGTCCAGTGACAGTGGCACTATATTTGAAAGCATTTTCCACAAATTCTTCTAAAATTACTTAAAATCTCACACATATTGACACATCCACAATATTTCAGTGAACTGTGTCATGCACAGTTATTACTCGGTAGCAAAAATACAGTTATGCCATTCAGCTGTCACCCAAGGCCTGTTTCAATGCCTTATATTTTGGTTCAAGGCAGACTAAGCACCAGTTACCTATTCTTTTCAGGTGACATACTTTATTTAATAGTGCTTCCTGAGAATGAAATTTCAAGGGGCTAAGTAACACGGTATCTGCCTCAGGTCAGGCTTTCGACTGCTCTGACCTCCAAATTGCTTTTCAGAAAATGAGCAAGCATACGAATTTCAGATGCCACAGGACGGGTGGTCATGATGCGGAAGAGCTGAAGAACTTCTGGGAAAAGGTCATCCAAGAGCAAACTAAGCAACAAGAAGCTGAAGTGTCTAGGCTAAGCAAAAGTGCCCTGAACAAGTAAGTGGTATTTTTTCTTTTCCACAAGACAGCAAGGCATATCATCACGTGTTTTCAAATAAGGTAACCTGTTATTGTACTGTTTTATTCATAGCACAGATTGTGTTCTGGATCTTTGGCACTTTTTCTCTCACAGCTGCTTGTCTCATATTACCATGGCTCTTCTGCATGGAAACTCAGACACCCCTCACCCCTAAACCTCATGAGCATTCTTCAAAGGCCTTGGAACATAGCCATGAAAAAATAAAGCACTTTGGAATTATGGCTTGTGACAGCCAGAAAATAGCAGGAATTTTACCTAGAACTAGTACAGCTACACAAATAAACAAAATAGTATTACATTAAATGGACAACCACCCACCTAATCTGTAGAATAAAAAACCCATGGCACCTTTGTCATGGTTAACAGCCCTTCACATCATATAAACCTAAAGGTAAAATCTACACAATGAGATTTTCCCATTCAGTGGAAAAAGTGTTGCTGTTTTGGGGGTTTGTTTTTAGTTTTGTTTGGGGGTGTTGGTGTATTTACAAAGCAGTATAAAACAGGGATTGCCTAGAGAAAACCATATAGCTGTATTGTGGTACAGATACTCTGCACAAGTGTGGTGGACTGCTTCAAATATTTGTTCAACTTGTGGCAATTCAGAACTTTGAACTAGGGTCTCCTGCACACTAAGTGAATACTCCTGTAACTACTAATGGACAGAAACAGAGGACAATAAATATGTCTCATGTGGTTTCCTTTTGTGCTTTCCTCCTGAAATTCACAAAGGTTTTCCTGCATAAACTTTTTTCAAAACTGGGACACTCACATAAACTAATTTGACTTCAGCAGTTTGGAAGATCTGCTAAAGGGCTGTTCCTTGGAAAAATTTCTAGGTACTTTGACTTCAGCGCCCAAGAAGGAAGTACTGTCACCATTTAGACACTTGGAAACCAAGATCTGGGCAGGTTTTGTGTGTCAAAAAATGTGGACAATCCTGCTTCCAGTATCCTACTCCAGCTAGTCAGTAGTACTCTCAAATCCCAGTCACAAAACTGCTGGAGAAAAAACATATATGATAAAATCCAGGAAAATGGCCAGCTTCACTGGAAACATTTATCACCCTAGATCACAAAAGACTACAATGAGAAGACAGTACAAACAAAATGCAATTTGTGGTTTAGATAATATTTTTGATTTCACAAAGTTGAAAATGTTAAAAGCTTTTATAAGCTCTTCTCTGAAGAGAAAAAAAAAGAAATGCAGTGAAAGAACCTTGAATATGTGTTATCTTGAATATGTGTTAAGAGTTACCTTAACTGACCCATCACAGCTGAAATAGTTGAACTTGAAAGCAAGTTCCTTCAAAGTCACTCACCCAGTCAAAGCCCAGATTGTTCACAAAGTGTTCTATAATTCGAAAAAAAGTGATACTTTCAGGAGGTAATAGACACTTTCACTACAAAACATGCATCTCCACTACCTCATGTAAGAGGCTCTCGGGAGAATGACATGGTTTTACATAAAGGCAAATGCTCCCTTTATGACATGTAGGACACTGATGAGAAACACCAGTGGCAAATTTTTCCTAACTCATTGCACCTCTTTCTTGAGGCTTATCTATATGCATAAAAGAATATTGAAGACTAGGTTTAAAACACAATATCAAACCAAACTCAGAATCTAAGTGAACACAAGCACCCACGTAGAAGAGCTACTCCTGAGTTACTCTCAGATGAAATCATAGGCTGCTGTTCTTTTCACCACACCAAAAGTAATTTAAAACCCCATTTATTCTGTGATGCTTTTGGCATTACATATAATAACTAATCTTATAAAATTTATGGGTCAGGTGCTTCATAACATTTCCTTCACAAAACAACCCAGCCAACGATATCTTGCAGTGGTCCCTAGAGATTTTCTCTTCTGTTTTTACCATACTAGTGTCTTGAAGCTATGTGGGTCCTCTTGCATGTGGCATCAATTCCTTTCATTAAACACGTACAAGGTCTGCAGAGTTGGTTTTGTTTTCTTTTTTTACCCAAAAGGACTTATTTTAAGTTCAGCCTGCTGTTGTCCACAGCATTTTACAGTGGGGTTGGGGGAAAAACTGTATTTTTTAATTTACACATTGAATGACCTTACTGCATAGGCAGTACTCCTGTGTGGCTTTGAGAATACCCCAGAGGAAAAACCAGAGTTCTTCACAGTGACAGTATTTCAGCAGTTGTTTGACTCATTTGGAATCCGGCAATGTCAACCACTGATAGTATCAGCACTATCCTTTTCTCCCCTGCATTCCCAGTCTAGCAAGCTAGAGGGATGTGTAATTGGTAAATAAATACAGGACAAGTGCTGTGGTGATGAAAGAGAGGAAAGCTTCGACCCTGCTGAAAAGCCCTGGATGCATTTGAAGGATTTGGCTCAATAACTGCTAAGCACTTGTACTCTCTTTGCAGACTTCGCCAGGAATGGACTCTGCGGCTGGAAGGTCGAGTAAGGCAGGTCCAGGCACACATGAAAACACGGGAAGAACAAATGACGCCACTCTCTATCGAGGCTCTTCCCTCACCAGATAAAACTGTTGCTTAAAGTTACTGTGCAGACACAGCAAGCCCTGGGCCCAATTCTGACCTTCAGCATGTGCCTGTAAACCAGCAGCTGAACAACCAAAAGATCAGATTCTGCCCATTTTCCAAACTATTTACTAGAGCTACTATTAAAGTACTATTAAAATTCAGTGCAAGAATAATGCCACAGGGGAAAAATAAGCACAAAGGGATAGATGAGAAGCAGACAACTCTAATTTTTCATGATATATTATTACTGTGATGTACCAGGATTCTCTTATGTAACTGCATTTCAAAGTGACAACAACTCACAGCTAGGAAAGAGGGTGGCTTGCTTAATAGGAATAATACATTCAGACAGCTGCATGCAAAATTGCACATTTCCATTTACACAGCTCACAGAGTCTGGCTTAATGCAAACGTAAGATGTACTGTCTGTCTTGATGAGCCACAGCAGAGGGAGATAAGGATTAGCCTGATCAGCCTGATTAGCTGGCCAGGAGGAGAAACAAATTCTTTAATGGAATGAGGGGGAAAAAAAAAAAAAGAACTTTTCTGATCAATATATAAGAACATTTGCAGATCTTAATAATTAAATCAACAGTAAATTTTGCTTTGACTTTCTTGGGCTATGTAAGAAAAAGGCTACTGAGTCAGTAGTCTTTATTATGAGCAAGTCTGACAAACATTAGAGTAGTAAGAGCAAATCAGCGTGAGAGTTTGAAGTAGGAGGCAGTGAATCATAACAGCACAGATATGCTTTGCAAAGTATCACTTGCCATACCTGACATGCACTAATCCAAATAATTCCTGCATCTTCTCTTGGGTTAGGTGAAACAAAACACAGAGTAATAGCAGTGTTCCCTATTTACCTATATTCCTGTGTATCTAAATACTAATCTTTTGGATTAAAGCACTTATTTGTTTTCTCTTCAAATAATATTTGATACACAAGAGAAGACTCATAAGTCTAAGGAGCTGTTTTTCTCTTACTAAAAACAGAAATTTACTTTGAATCTATATTTATACTAAAGAAGTAGATAGGAATACATTTGATATATTTCAAAACAGAAGAAAAATTAAACCATTTTGACCTCACAGAAATGCTTTTTTTATCCTTTCAAAACAATATTTAATTAAAACACAAAGTTTTACTGAATGTTCTCACTTTTACAAAGTGAAAATCTGACACAGAAAAAAATAAGCTGTCACAAAAACGTTGTTATTCCACAAAGGATTAAAACAAATAAAAACTTATAAAATGTTGTTCTGTTATTGAAAACTGAAGGGATCCATTTCTTTTCATAAAAACTGACACAAAAAACATGTAATTGTTTCTTTCAGTGGCCATTTTCCATTAGAAAAGCAATACCGAAAAAATAATAAAGTTGTAGCTGCTTTTGCCCTGCAAGACTGGTGTTTCTCTTCTGCATCCACTTATTTCCATTTATTCTCTAACAGGTCCTTTCTGTAACTCAGTATCATGGTCTGGGCCAGGACAGAGTTGACTTTTCACAGTAGCTGTGACATTGGAACCTAGAGCTCCATGGCCATGTGTGGGAGTTATTCTATACCCCCCATGCCATCTCTGGGACTAGGAAGTCCAGGATGCTTTTGGGAATAAGTTCGGAGTAGCTTGGGGTGGGGAACAGTCATGTGGAGAAGTCATCAGCCATTTTTCATTGTCTTGGGGTTGGGCACATTGATCAGTAATTTTTGCATGTACATTACCCTCTCTTTGCATACTTCTGTTATTAGTATTGTTTTCCTATCTCATTACTGCTTCCAGTAAATTGTCCTTATCTCAAGACACAGTCTCTGCCTTTCATCTGACACCAGATGCTTGTGGTTTTCTTTTTAGTGGAAGTACTAAATTGAGCAATATCATTCCTAAAATAAGACACCTAAGCTAAACTTCTTCTTTGGTGATCAATCACAATCTCAGCTAGCTGCCACTTAAGCAAAAAACTGGACTAGTTTGCTTTACTGTATCCATCACTAAAGGACACATACATGGACTACTGAAATGCAGAAGTGTCAGATTCTCTACTTCTGAAAACCAGATCTATTAGCTTTGTTAGCTTAACCACTGATTTATGGTATTATAATGCCACCTACATCAGTGCAGCTTATCCCTACTCCATGTCAACATGACAAGAGAAGATCCAAGAGAAGCTGGCTCAATAAGAATTTATTGTTCTTTTACATTTAATGTCAATGTTTTTATTTATTAGGAACACTTTTAGGACACTCTTTCTGGTTGCTTATGAAGTTATGTTAGATAGGAAAAGGACTACACAAGCAGATGTAATTCACAAAAAGCAAATTTCAGCACTTCCCAAAAACTTCCTTAGCTCTCTGAGGAGTAGGTTTTCTGTAAGGAGCTCTGAGGGCATACAGAGACAGGTGAAATCACTTCTACTATAAGCAATTGGCATCATATTAGCTACACACCTAAGGAGTGTTGCAGACATTGTTTACCTTCACAAGTACATGGAACCTATTTCAGTTGTGAGTGGATTTCTGATGCAGCAAAGAGTGCATATCACAAGCGTGAAAAACCAAAATGCTCTCACACTTAACAAAAAACATCTCTTTTTGCATTGCTCAAGTGCACATGCATTAGTCATGGTTACCGATTCTAGCACACATTTTACATGATAGCCGTAACCTGACATCCCCATGTTGATCATCAGGTGTTTCTGTTCCCAGATGCAAGTGTTCATCCAATTTTCACTGCTACTTGCACAGACAACCAGACTGACAAGTATCAGGTACTAGAAATAATGAAGTCATATGCTGCTTGCAAATTGCAAAGATGAAGGCAGGCAGGAAGGTCACAGATAATGTTTCATCATTTTGCTTTATTCACTGAATTGGTGTCATTCAAGCCTGAACTTAGACATTTCATACATAACTGAAAATGTTTACTCTGGCTGTCAATAAAAAAAACACAAACAAAAGTCAGTTCAAGTTGAATCGTTATATTTTAAAAAACTATCTTATTCATATACATGGCCACCATTTATAAAACAGGATATTCAGTGAGCAAAATCTGTTAGGAGAGTAGGCCACTTCAACTAAATACTGCACTTTTTAACTCCTGTGTGTCTAGTTCCTCCATCTTTCCAATGGGTGCAAAAGAAAAATTAGATTACAGTAACTATATTAAGAAAGTTGGGCTACTTATTTGAGAAGAGAAACTAATTGCCCAGATTTTTTTCCTTAAGGTTTATTAATTTGCCTAATAGAAAATGAACTGAATGAATATTGAATATAATGAGTTGAATAATAATCTGCGTAATCAGTACCACCCTGACCCTAGACTATCAAGACATTACCATGTCTTTCATCAGCACATAAACCCATAAACCAGCCCTGGCACTTGCCTAAGTCAGCAAACAACTAATTTTGTACAGGATAGGTCAGTGGCCGGTATTTTGGTCATGGGACTTTAACTTTATGATATATGATGCAATAGGTGTAGATCATGCACTTAAGCTGGCATACTGATGTCAGCTGTAGAGCACCCACTTGGCATGCCCAGATTTATGTGCATGGCAGACATGGTGAGCACAATCTATACCCATTCACACTGTTGCTTTTTAAGTGCTGTCTGATCCAGGAACCAGTGACTAATGCCTGAGAAACAGCAGTTTGCTTTCTTAAACTAACTCTGAACTGTGGCCAGTTGTTGAAGCTTGGCTAACTTAAATCAAGGCAGTCTAAAGGGTGACTGTAAACCACGTTAATCTGCAGTCTGACTTCATTTGGACACCGTGGTAAAGCACTCACACAATCAGTTTTAGGCAGGATGCAGCAACTCAACACCTGTCAGCTGCTCTACTTGAATTTGCACTTAAATTAAGAGCAGAAGAGACGTTTTTTAAGCTAAACCCTTGACTGTCTGCAGGTACCACATACTGGTTTGGAGCCAATTTAATGCAGGAAAACCAGATTTCTTTCTGAGGAACCAAAACCAGACCAAAAGCTGCTTTCCAAGAGCACATGAAAGGACCTTAACCTCTAAGGATCTGAGACAAGCACTGTTTCTTCAGACAGTTTTAAGACACCTGCATAATGGGGATATTTGGTCTAACTAACCAAATTAAATTGAGTCTGATGTAGCCCCTGAACCATGTGGGGATGTCAGCAGTAGATGCTTTGTTCTACTGAGATGCTTGATAATGTGTTCAGTCACCTGCTAATGTAGACGAGTATAACCCGACCAAAACAATATAGATGGGATCAAAGCACAATAATACGTTTCATATAGGTCTAAAGGTGGAGCTCAGCTGAGCTCAGGAATGATAATTTAATTAGCCATGTAGATATGCTAGCATGCACAACTAAGCACAGTTCGGTCAATTCACCCACTGGAGCTGCATGTGATGGAACAGAGCCTCCCTACACGAAACTCGGAATAGATCTGGCTTCTGAAACCGTAAAACAGTATGTATGGTTCACTTCTACAGTTAAATGATAGCGATATGAGGATAATTACCAACTTTGTAGACCAAATGTTCCTACTAATTACAAACTGCCTGTGTCCTGAGGGATGCTGTTCTCTACATTGCTTAATAAACAGCACTTAACTGCACCGTAGTGTGAATAAGGAATAGTAAATCACATAAAAATACTCCTGGATTGAAAAAGGCATCTCTAGATAAACAAGAACGAACCAGAGAGTATCTCTTGAAAGTCTTATATTTCCTGAGAACATTTCCATTTGTGAATTAAACATTACTATATTATTTATTTCTTACCAAGAAGAGGATCTATCCATAATGTTATACTTTTAAGACAAAACTGAATGCAAAAATTCAACAGTCAAGACAGACAATTCAAAACTCTACTTATTACTCCCAATTCTTTCAGATGTCTGTATTTATCTGTGTGTTATTTAGTGGCCAGTGTTTTAACATATTTCAAGCTACAATAGACAGAAAGCAGGGAAAATTCAAGGTCCGAAATGACAGACAAACAGAATGAAAAAAAGGATTATACTACCAGGGAAGCCAGACTTAACAGTGGGGGATCATGTGCTATCTCCATAATTAGCTCTACGTACCTCAAACACCATCCCTTAAATGAACTAATATCCTACTAGCATCTAATGGAACGTGAGAGACTGCTAGTAGGCAGTGCCAGTGTTCAGACTCAATGACATGACTTCAGTGGTTCATAATCAGGGTCACTGTTTTTTTCCATAGCAAACAGCAGCAGCATCAAGGAGAGCTACAGTACTAATAAAAAAATCATCTGATAAGAATCAAAGGGGCAGAAAAAAATTCAGTAGTAAATCTGAATGGTATTATATTTGATTTATCTATTTTTATCTATTATAATTCCTTAAAAAATAGTCCCTTTGAGTTACATTTCCTCTATGACTGTAGTACAAGCACAAAGTGAATATTGGTGCCATTTGATCAGAACTGTGACTTCACAATGTATGTCGATGATTCAGCCATAAGGAGCAACTCAAAAAATTGAATTAATACTGAAAAGTTCTTGCTTCTATTAGATTTGGTCCCTAAATCAAAGGAATCGAATCTGTAAAATACTGATACTAAAAGCTTAGTCTGTATTGTCTCTTCACGAATAGGCAGAAGAAAATTATGTTTTCAAATAGAGTTTGCTATAGCTAATGCTATTTTTCTCCCTCTGATGCTCTATTCCATGTAACAACTGCATTATTTTTGTTGAGGGTTTGAGGTTGCAGTACTATGCAGGCTATCAATCTAATTAGGCAAGGAAAACACAACATTACTAGGGTGGTCGACAGTGTTATTTCTGGAAAACTTTTTGAAAAATTACCTATGTTTGTCCTAACGTCTTTTTTTTTTTTGTTACTGTTTTCCTAGCATGATGGTGATTCCACTGCAGCTTCTCTTAGGGGAACTTTTTCTCTAAGATTTTTATTGGTGTTTTTATGAATCCTAGTAAGTGAACAAATCAACACAATTGTTCATTTTTACATGTAAAAAGCTTCAAATAACAATTTTGCCTCATTAATTACTGAAATGAAATATCATTTCAGCAGAGTTTCTGTTATAGTTCAATTA